AGACGTAATAAACGGAAATTGCTGAAATTCAATAGGCTTCTTCGTTTCACTAATTTAAATAATGCATGTAAATTTCAGAAAGATCGGATGATAACTGTTGGAGTTAGAGCTAGAGCGTTCACAAGGTTCAGTAAAGTGAAACAAGAGCCATAACTCTAGACGTAAAAAAACGGAAATCGCTGAAATTCAATAGGCTTCTTTGTGTCACTAATTTAAATAATGCATGTAAATTTCAGAAAGATCGGATGATAACTTTTGGAGTTAGAGCGTTCACAAGGTTCAATAAAGTGAAACATGCTGCCAATGGCTATACAAAGGACCTTTTTTCTTGTCCAGTCCATCTTGCCCTTGCAACAAGACGAAAAAAGGCTGGAAAAACCTGAGGAACTTCATTGGCCAGATTAAAAACAGATTCTTATCAATGAGCCAGTGTCCTACACATCGAGTCAGAACCCACCGAGCCAGCGGTTTACCCACAGAGGTGGGTCTTTACCCACTGAGACATTGTCTTACCAACTGAGCTGGTGGCTTAACCCCTGAGCCGATGGCTTATCCACAGAGCTGGCACCTCATGTACTGAGCCACCTTGGTTTTCGTTCTGCTCTTGTATTGCACATAAAAATGCCTTCCTGGCTAGGCACAGATTTGACCTTTAATTGATGAATGCCATTATTTAAAGTTAACCTAGATATCATGTCTTAGTAAATCGTTTTTCATTCCAGGTTTCTGCTTACACTAAACCTGATCAAGTGATAGAATCTGTCAGTTTTGATACGTTGCTTAAAGAAGCGGAGGTGTTGAAGAAAGCTGCCGAGAATGCAGGAGAAAACGTTACAGCTACTACAGCTGAGGGAACTGATTCAGAAACTGAGACCAGTGACACAGATGTTGAAATGAAGGAAGAAGTAACAGATTCACAGGCTAAGAAGAAATATCCTAGAAAACCACATTACCGTCATGCTGATAGATTTATTTTAAAAGCTGCCCAGGCACGACTAGACGAATTCATAAAAGTTAAAATGCTAAAAGATCTACTGTTTGGACCTGCTTTCCCTCATCATATCACACGCCAGATTAACGGCTTACTGTATAACCTCCCCGTTCCAGTTCGCTTTATAAATCATTCCACTAGAAATCAGATGTACACCATTGTAACGCAAAGTATGTCACCGATCAAAATTGTCGCATTTCTCAAAGCCAACGGTGGACAGTCTGGTCGCTTTCGTTTAGTCGACAAATCAGAACTTCCGACACATAAGGACATTTTACCAGAACTTAAAAGTAGGGAAATTTTAACTAAGATCAAATCCAAATTTTAGTAGAAATTTCAATTTTGATTGGCTAAGCACTAAAACCAATCAAATTGTTGGCTTTTTTTTGCTAATAAATATAAGTGCTAGTCTAATGTCTTGTCTCAATTACATCTTCAACAGTATGGTTTTGTTTCTAATTTAAAATCCAAATATTTGTCTAAAGTCTTTACCAGTTGTGTGGTTGAGTGGTCTGATGTATGCTTTAGATCATAAGGTCTGTCATTGATTCAAGTGCCATGGTTTGTTTTGAAGGTACTTCCAACCTTATTTGTCTTATTTTCGCCAGTCATGTTTGGCCGTTTTGACTGACTTGCAGTGAAATTGACCAACTGGAGAATACTAGTAGATCATAAGGTCTGTCTAAAGTTTAGACAAATATTTGGATTTTAAACTAGATTTATAAGGGGCATTTTAAAGGGGCATTGGCGCCATTGGGTAAGATTAGATAAGAGCTGACAGTTCTCGCTATAATAGTTCAACAATAAATAATAGAAACAGAAAATGCTGAAATTTCAGTCAGATTGCTTTGCTCTGAACCGAGATATAGGTGATTCAGTTTTAGGCTACAGAGCCAATTTTCTGAAAGGTAACCTTTTCTGTGGTTCAAGTATCTGATGTGAGAATCTGGGCCCTGTTTCTCGAAATCTTAACAGTGGGAATGCAGTCGACCCTACTCTTGGAAACGAAGCTAAGCCTCTTCACTAAATGACAGACCTTATTATCCAACACGAATGCATTATCATTTGACTCCACCCCCTCCCCTGCAGTGACACATGAATGTTGTGACCAATAACCACTTTCCTGTCTTAAGGCCTTTGAAAACAGTATTCCTCATTATTAATTTGTCCCAACTAATCATGGTTCATGAATGCGTGTTCTCGATATGTTGACACTTCTACGATGGTGGGTGACTACGAGTCATGAGTGAAATAATCTTATTTCGTTTAATCTGTTATACTAATATAGAGAAAATACAATTTACATTTTATGGATATAACTTTTATGGATATAACTGTTACAACAAATAACACATCTACACAAATTTTTAAGTTGACCTCATTTCAATCAAAGTAAATACATGTACCCGTAAGTATTGTTTATATTAGCGTTACGTTTGGTAGTGGAACCGTGACACTGACATATTGTACATCGTTGACTTCAGGGTTAGGCTTGTTGTCTACCAAAGTTAGGTTAACATCTTCCACTACACTGCAAAGTCAGTAACATCATCAAGCTAACCTTTGCTAAAAGGTTAATGTTAATAACATCCACCAATTAGTCTATACACTAAACACAAGACCTGCAGCATTCAATCTCTGTGATCTGTAAATAATTAATAAAAAAACATATGAACTTACTTCAAATTTACACACTATAACTTATTACATAAACTTTATGTAGATAAGGAAAGTGAATTTTGAGATGCACTCCAATGACAAGTAGTTGATTTACATAAAAATTTACAAAAATAAGAACTGTTAATGAAAATAATAAACTGATTTACCTCAAGATAGATAATTGGAAATATTTTCTATACTCTTCTTCTGAAAAATGAAAGGGCGTAGTTTTATTATAAAACAAGGAACATGTACTACAAAAACATATAATTATTAATGTACCCCCTCGCCAACACGTACATTTGGAATTCATTTAATATAGTTAACTAAAAAAAATGTTAAAATCACAATTAATTATGATACCACAATTACAGGCTGGTAAAATCAACACAAAGTTCATACATTAGATTATAATAACCAGAATCGACTTTAAACTGATGTCTCTCACATATCAATGCCATAACTCTTGCAGTAATCATCAGATCTCGCTGAAAATCAATAGGCGTCTTGTCTCATGACCTTAAACACTGTGTATAAATTTAAAGTCAATTGGATTTTAACTTTAGCCTCTAGAGTGTTCACAAGATTTTTCAAAGTGATCAAGGGCCATAACTCTGGTAGTAATTATCGGTTGCCAATTCAAAACATATTTGTTTTCATTTTCCAACTCTTGTCTTACTCTTTTTGCAATGTAAAAATCACGAAAACGTTTTATTTCTCCCAAAGTGAAATTGCCATATGGCAAATCTATATAAAAGTCTTTGTCATTTTGTATAGACCCAATAATCTGATCCAAATCTTTAATTGGAGGCATGTATTTTGACTCTTCACATCTAGAGAATTTAATATTTGTTATGTTTCGTTTAATAATATAGCTTCTACATATAACAACAGGCAGAATTTTGTTAGGCAATGAGAGATTAATTCTACTAGTACTATTAGTATTTTGTAAAGCCATATTTGAGTACAATGTAACTTGCTCACCTGTTTTAATTTCCTTAGATTATACTGAATACCGTGGCGTACTGGAAAGGTCTTTGAAACCAATTTACGCTGAACAATCTAACACAGTACAGTAGTATAGTATTGTATGGTACCTTCTTCCACCAATCCAAGTGAAAAATCAAAACCACTATTGATGAACACTGAAATAGAAACATAATGTAACTACCCTAAATTCACATATTAGATAGTAAAAGCTTAATTGATTCTATTAGTTAAGTATAATATTTGAAATTAGATCTATAATATATAATTATGATTTTAATAAATCTTAGCTGACAATAACATGCGGATTTCATTCAGTTTTAAAATTGGTACTATAGGGCCTAGCCAGTATAGCGATTCTGAAGGGAAAATACCGCTTATGACTCATGACGTCACTCAAATATGACAGAAAAGCACTTATTTTGGTGCCATCCCACGCATTGACTGGTATATAGAGGTTTTGATCATTTGAAACTTTGAGTTTGACCTGAAACCCTATTAATTAATAAATAGGTAATATTAATAAAACAATACTACTAGTACTAGGCCTATTTATTAGTATTTAGAATATATATCATATGTAGGCCTACATACACTGTCATACAGTGCCTTTATTTACAAGTTACATCTGATTTATTAACTGATTATCAGACTTATCCATTTGTGTGTATCTCATTGATCATTCTCAGGCTCAAGTTATACTCCTGACAAGTCCACGAGTCACGATACTGTGACCCCCTGTTGGTTGCTGTTGTACTTACTTGTAGTTAAACTGTCACTACTACAACTTAAGGGGTATAAATAAAATTCTTGAAATGAAGTCGGACTAGGTAGATATCTAGGCCTAATTATAATGTAGACTTGTTTTCATATCGATTACCCGACGCCAAGACCACTTCTACTGTACTAGCACTAATTTCAATGTAGGCTACTTAGTTAGTAGTCTTACCCCAAAAGTTAGAAAAGACTTCGTCAGCAAAAAAAATTATTTACAATCGGTACATCTATGATTAAGATTTGATTTATGCAGTTTTAGTCAAATACTAGCCTACTATAAAGTAACAAACTTCATTTACATTACCCAGGTCAGAAAATCTCCTCAGAAAATAAAAGACAACTGTTTAGTGTTTGTAGCCCAATAAATATAAGAAGCTGACGTCGTTAAAAACAGTGTTAGCCTAAACATCAGAATATTGCGCCAAAAGCAAACCAGTTAAAAATATAATTTGCGGGTCACGGAAAGATAACTCTGTTTGGAAACATGGTTTGGTGTAGAGGAATAACCGAAGTTGGCCGAGTGAAATCTGCAGCCGGTTGCCGAGTGAAAAATAGAAAGTAACTCATTGAAGATCCAGTATTGTGCAAGACAGCTAGCTAGCTAGCTCATATAAATAGGCCAATAGTAGATGGTCATACTAATAGCAGTAGAAACAGTGACACTGACTCTGACAGGTGAGTTCTTGGGCTTTATAAGTGATTATATAGCAATGGTTTTATAAATTATATCTCTTAGAATGAAGCGCCAACCACACTAGAAAAGTAGATTATTTGTTGAAACCCGGTGGAACTATGGTTATGTTTCTGTTTATCTGTCAGTTTTGATTGACGCCTACAGACTTTTTTTTTTAAACTTGGAGATATAGTATAGCACCCTCTATCAGAGTTAGTTTACACAGATCAATTTATTTTAGTGAATTAAAAGCCCATTGTTGACTTACAGTAAATTTAAACTTTGTTTTTCAAGGTTGTTAGATTACACAACATAAAATGGGGATGTCCTACTGTTTACAGTTCCTTGTTAGGGTTAGAATTAGGGTTATACAGTGGAAATATCGTTGATGAAAAAACGGAGTCGTATTGTGGACTTTGGGGGGGGGGGGTGTAACACTACGATGGCTATATAGACAAGTTAATACACAAATCGTCTCACATTATATTACGAAGCACAAAAGTAGTTACAACCACATATAATGGTGCGGTTTAACAATGACCAGTTATCTTCGAGCAACCTTGATCTATTTTATATCTTCTAGTCCATGCCACTTTAATAGTCGAACACAAATAAAATGTATGTGAATACATAACAGTCGGATCAAACACAATTGCCCAGTGTACTCTGAGAGAAATTTTGCATCTACTCTTTATTTCGATTTCCAACTGTCAAGGGTACACTTCAGTGCATACACTGGACCTCGGCTTTCCATCCCATTCGAACAACTAGTATAAGTTGTCAATTTTGCTGGGGCCAGTAGGGGACATGTTTTGCTTTAATAAGGCTCTCAAAATGTTTAATTTAAGGTTCTTTATTAAAAGCTTTTAATGTATGAGAAAAAAATTAAAATACACATTATGTAAGATTTAGATAAAGAGGTGACCATTCTTGCTATAATAGCTCAAAAATAGATAATGTAAAATGAAAATATTGAAAATGTCATACAGATTACTTAATTCTGAGCCATGTTATCACTGTAGTTTTGACAAGATGTCTGCATTGTGGTGAGCAGCACACTGGTATATTTAAGACTTGGCCTCGCTTTTCCATTTTGACTTTAATTTTTAAATGGTAAACCGTTCTAATATAGTTCAAATCTTGAGTATCCGATGCCACCGAGAGTTGATTATGGTCTTGTTTTGTTAATAAATGTCTAATTAATAGTTTATATAACATTTCAGGCCTAAAGAAATACCTGCAATAGGCAGATTTAGCTCGTGCATAATGTATGTTTATTAATTATAAAGTTGAAGAGTGTATGCAATCAATTTTAGCTTAAATATTATTCAAATCAATAAATTCTAAAGTTTTGGCAAGTTAAAGTTTACATTGATTTCTATTGATACTGCCATCTTTATATATCTTCAACAACTAAAGTGACAATAAATTAGTTATCATACAAGCCTGACTTTTCTTTATGACGATTTTAAATATTGTTGATTTAAATAATATAGTTATACCTCACTGCCTCTTGATTAATTTTAAATGGTATGTTATTTAGAGTTAGTCAGATGAAAATTCAGTGCACACCTAGCTAGACTATTCTATCAACTTCATTGTCATTGTTTTTAAGTTGCTTACACTTACACTACAGTATTGTTTAACAACATCCCTCATTTTGCCAATGAAGGGATTGTTTTCCTTAGGCAATAATGATTATAAATCACACTTGATTAGGTAATATTTCAGAAAAAGAGAGAAATGTGGTTTAACATTCACTTGACACAGACTATGTCACTTCAGGACTAATATATAATTCAATTTTATTTCAATAATTCGTTTGGACTTATGGGGTCTTTTGCAGTGGGTTGAAACCGAGGGGTCCGGAGAAAACCCATAAAGTTGGAGAGATGACCCTGTTGCTGTCAAGTACAAGCTTTGAATCCAAATCACACCATTTGATTCAGTCACAGACCTTATGATCCAAAGTGCACAAGTTAAACCATTCAGCCACGCACCTATAAGAAATCATATCCCAGAACCAGTCATTTCCCACCATACCGACGTGGTATTCGCATAGTTGTTACATCATGATGTCCGATCCTGGATAGTCATATGCTATTAATATCGTTCACCAGTCCCAAATAACAAAAGTTATCATCCGATCTGTCTGAAATTTATATGTATCATTTAAATTATTGAAATGAAAAAGTCTATTGAATTTGAGCAATTTCCGTTATTACTTCAAGAGTTGTGGTTCTTGTTTCACTTTGTAGAACCTTGCGAATTGATATCAGTGTCCTGTAAATGTCCTCATTATCTACAAAAGAATAAATATGCAACAACCCTTGTTGACTGCTTGGATGATTTAGCTGCTGTGGGCGTATGTTTCATGACCAGGGTTGCCTGGCATTGGCTGGCAGCCTATCTTTGTTTCGTGATGTTGATTATTAGAAATAGTAGAATATCTACAGCAGTAATTTTTATTGGTTTAATCATCCATGCTGTGTACTCAGTTTGGTTAAGTCAAGTTTACATGCAATGTTGTAATACTATAAAAATATAATTAAATCATAGTGTGTTAAACTGGAGTTATAGTCAATTACATTTGCAGAGTTACTGAATCGTACAAGTACAAACTTACATGGTTTACAAATACAAAGTTTGAATACTCATAATTCTTAAATTAGTTGGCTACCATAAAAACTTTGTTTATGGCAAGCAACATTATTGACACTTAACCAGAGCTCAAACTGTTAAAATTAAGCAGCTTTTTTCACCAGGTAAAAGTCAATCAAATGTATTTTTGTAATCTTTTATAGTAAAATGGCTTTGAATGAAGATGTATTACGGTTACCTGGAGATCCTTTACCAGAAGGATGTGTATTAAGACTGTACAGTATGAGAATGTGTCCATATGCACAGGTAAGGTCTCTCTCTCTCTCTCTCTCAATGTGGCTTTCCATGTGCTAGCTATAATAACTGGTATTTATAGTTCATAAATGCCTATTGAGAGTCATTCTTTAGACCTGAAATGTTATCTAAATTATTAATTAGACCATAATCAACTCACGATGTCATCGCTAGCCTGCGCTGTTTATTGGTTAGGTTCCAATTTGCTGTTCGACTTCCATTCATGATTTAATCATGAAATGGATAATCGCCTTTAATCGGGTCTACGTTTTTTATCGTATCGACTTTAGTAATGATGATCAGCAAATTCCCTTTTGAAATGTGGCCGTTGTCGTCACCCCCATCCGTCCGTTCGGCTCTAGAGGCTAAAGTTAATATCTGATTGACTTTAAATTTATACACGGTGTTTAAGGTCATGAGACAAAGAAGTCTATTGATTTTCAGTGATTTCCGATAATTACTGCCAGAGTTATGGCCCTTGTTCACGTCAAAGAATCTTGTGGGCGCTCTAGAGGCCAAAGTTAATATCCGATTGACTTTAAATTTATACACAGTGTTTAAGGTCATGAGACGAAGACGAAAATTGATTTTCAGCGATTTCCGATAATTACTGCCACAGTTATGGCCCTTGATCACTTCAAAAAATTGTGTGGACGCTCTAGAGGCCAAAGTTAATATCCGATTGACTTTTAATTCCTACACAGTGTTTAAGGTCATGAGACGAAGTAGCCTATTGATTTTCAGTGATTTCCGATAATTACTGCCAGAGTTATGGCCCTTGATCACTTCAAAATATCTTGTGGACGCTCTAGAGGCCAAAGTTAATATCTGATTGACTTTAAATTATACACAGTGTTTAAGGACATGAGACACAGAGGCCTATTGATTTTCAGCGATTTCCGATAATTACTGCCAGAGTTATGGCCCTTGATCACTTCAAAATATCTTGTGGACGCTCTAGAGGCCAAAGTTAATATCCGATTGACTTAAAATTTATACACAGTGTTTAAAGTCACTTCAAAATATCTTGTGGATGCTCTAGAGGCTAAAAATAATATCCGATTGACTTTGAATTTATACACAGTGTTTAAGGTCATGAAACGAAGAAGCCTATTGATTTTCAGCGATTTGGGATAATTATTGCCAGAGTTATGGCCTGATCACTTCAAAAAATCTTGTGGACACTCTAGAGGCTAAAGTTAATATCCGATTGACTTTAGATTTTATACGCAGTGTTTGAGGTCATGAGACAAAGAATCCATTGATTTTCAAAGATTTCCTATAATTACTGCCTAATTTATGGCCCTTGATCACTTTGAAAAATCTTGTGACGCTCTAGAGGCTAAAGTTATCATCCAATTGACTTCAAATTGATACACAGACTTTAAGGTCTTGAGACGAACAAGTATATTGATTTTGAATGAACTTTTATAACTTGGAACAGCTAAATCCATGATATTAAAAGTATTGTATACTAAACGTTAGCATGGGGCAGAACTTTATAAAAACCAAACAAATTGTAATGGTTTTCTGATAATTACTTAATGAGTTGTTACTCGTAATCAGATTTTAGTGTATTATAAATGTTTCATTATCGAAAAAAGTAAAAATATGTGACAACTCTTGTTGACTGCCCGGATGATTTAGCTGCTGTGAGTGTGGGCGCATGTTTCGTTGCCTGGCAACCTATCTTAAACTATTATAGTGAGAACAGCCAGCTCTTTATCTAATCTCCCATAATGTATCTTTAACCAAATTGTCCACCTTGTGGCATCCGTAGATTTAAAGATTATGTTTTTCTATTTCCAGAGAGCTCGACTAGTATTAGCAGCTAAAGATATAAAGTATGATCGTGTTAATATAGATCTTAATAATAAACCTAATTGGTTCTTTGATGTTAATCCTAATGGAGAGGTACCTGTTATAATACACAATGGCAGTCATATCTATCAGTCACTAGTCTGCGCAGGTAAGACTAAGACAATCTAAATGGTGGGGATGTCATCTTCATCTTTGTTTATGGATGGAAATAATTCTAGGAACTCATATGTAAACAAACTAGCACACTTCTCCGGTTAGCTCTGCAATTGTTATTCCCCCTGACAATGCCAGGAAGGGGGCGTGATTCCCCCCAAATTTGCATTGTGTACATTACTAGGTGCATTCTAATACAATGTAAAGCTACTATTAATAATGAATTACGTCTCTTTAAACGACCACATGAAATGTAGATATATATTGCCCTCACCTTTGTCAGTTGTCCGGTGTTTATTCACAATTTCTTGTGACCACTCTTTAGGTCAGGTTTATTTTCAAATTTGTATGGATTGTTCAATTGTGACTTGTCTTTTGTCTGTATCTCAATATTATTTTCCCAAGGTGAATGTTTTACCAGTATGTATTGTCAGCAATGGGCTTAGCCATCAAATGAAACAGTATCTAATTTTGAAATATTTTATATTATTAGAATATGTAGAAGAAGCCTTTCCCACACCAAAGTTATACAATACAGATCCAGTTGACAGAGCTTGGGAAAAAATTTATTATGGACACTGGAATTCTAAGGTTTGAATATAATTATTTAACCTTTAACACATGGACTGCCGAATAGTGCTCCCAAGAAATAGCATATTAAGGTCCTACCATACTGAATCAGGCTGTCAAGGGAGCAGTACTCTATAATTAATTCACTAGAGTGAGATGATCATTTAAACAGTTATATTAGTATTTTCTGAGTACTGATTAACTGGTATTCAGTGAGTAGACTACTGATCTAAATTGTCACTTGGAGAAAGCTGATGTACTGATTTATCTGTATCTGGTAGACGGAAGTGATGATTTCAAACTTAAAGATGGAAATAAATGATTTAAAAAATAATCCATAGCCAGTCTTCTTTTTAGTAATTATTTTTGATCATCCTTTTTACCTGCATTAATGTGAATTAATTTTGTATTGAGTGTTATCGGAGACAAAATTTAACCTGCATAGACATTGTTATATTTTTATCTGTTTCACAGGGAATCCCGGCCTTCTATAGTTTAATGAAAGCCGGCTGTCTGGAACCAGAGCAAACTAAAAGACTTACAGAACATATCACAGTTATGGAAAATTTCTTGCAGAAAAAGAAAACACCATATTTCAGTGGAAATAAACTTGGATTTGCAGACTATATGATCTGGCCCTGGTTTGAGAGAATGCCAATGCTAGGGGAAATAACAGGTATTGGTCAAATGACACAATTCATGACTTCTAGATTTTTTCAAGTTTTTTTTTTATTTGTATCAAATTTCGTCAAAATCTATTGTGACAAATGTCAGTTGTAGATCGATTTGACATTGAGATGTGGGCATGTGTGAACACTGTATAGGGACAAAAATTTTCATCTGATTTTTAAAGATTTACATTTTCAGATGTTTTGTCAAATTTCAACAATTTCTGTCTGCGTCTGAAACATTTATTTATATTTGATTTCTACATTAGTGAGATGAAACATCCATTGACTTTAAACAATTTCTGTTAACTATTCCTAGCATTATTGACCTTGGTCATTTGTTAGAATCTTGTGAATACTCTAATGACAATTTTTATTTATTGTTCAGTTTAGTGCAATATAAAATCTAGTTGAATTTCAACGATTTCCATTAATTACATCTAAAGTTACTGCCCTGGCCCACTTTGTACAATCTTGTGAAAGCTTTAACCTCAGAAGTCGTCAACTGATCTGTGTTAGATTTCTGTTATTATTTATACGCCCACATTTCATGCTGACATATATTGTCATCGCCCTTGTAGGTCCTGTGCTTCCTTCCATCCATTCACATTTTGTTTGTGCACATTCTACAGGTCACAATTTTTATCCCATTTCGATGAAACTTAAAATATATGTTTATATCCCAAAGATCTTGGTTCCCTTCGATATTGGCATGTATCGTACAGTAATTACTTGGATTTTGGCCCCCTGATTTTATGAAAAATAACGTTTTTAGCATGTGGACACTTATTATTATTTACCGAACAAATCAAAATGTGACAACTTTATGGACTGGACATATGACTTAGCTGATATAGGGATAATTTATTCAGTATCTTGCAACCTGTATTTTGAATTACATTTAAAGTGGAAATTGATTAGTACATGTATGAACAATTTATTATGCCATACTTTTCTAGATAGATATGTTCTTTTAGGATAAACTATATGCATTGTAAATGGATGTTGTTATTGATATGTTTATATTTTTAGCATTATGGTCATTTAAACCCCGAGGTGTATATTTATTTTTACAGGATTTCAGATGACAAAAGAAGTTTTTCCAAACCTTATGGCGTGGATAGACAAAATGTGGCAAGACAAGGCTGCACAAGAATGTAAAATTGATTCCAAGTTATTTGTAGACCATTATTCTAAATACAGAACTGGAAAACCTGATTTCACCATCGGTGCCCAGAAAGATAACATTGTCCATGAAACTTTGGAAAACTTGGATGGTTTAAGAGATCCTTCAACAAGATTTCGACAAGAAAAGAACTGATCATTTTGAATTTATGTTGTACATGTATATCCATTAAAGGAAATATTGTTATATTGTTTTCCTGTGCAAAACATTAATTACATATATATAATGATTTAATTTATAACAAACTATCTATTGCAAATTACTTACTCATGCATGTCTGTCTACTTGAATATTTGCAGAGGGGTTCATGGATATGTACAGTGAGGTGTCTATCATGATCATAGAATCTGTGATGTATTTGTATTGAAGTACAACAAACTTTTTAACAAAGGTTAAAATAAGAATGAGATGGCCCCTTTTCATTGAAGAAATTAAGTTCTATAAAATTTGAAATTGCTAGTGCTGCTAGGTAAAACCAGCGGTTGCCAGGCAAGTTACACTGACAAATTGTAACTTCTAGCAGGTCCACAAGCTAAAAACGTGAATTTGGAACAATCAGGGGCCATAATGCAAGAAGTTAGGTTTTGATATGAGCGATTATCGAAAGGATAAAAATATTTGTGATATAAACATAGGGGGTCCACAACCTTGATATGCCGTACTTTTACTCTATTTGCGTTCAAGGAGTGGCGATTTAGTCTGGCAGTTCCGGTCCCATTTTCACGAAATTCGAACTGTATGTTGTAACGGTGATATCTTCAGACGTTTTTTGTAAATCGGATAAAATATTGTGACCTCTAGAGTGTCCACAAGCTAAAAATGTGATTTTTTTGTGCAATCAGGGTGAATAATCTATGAAGTTACGATAGGAACGGAGATCTTTGGGTGGCACACCTATATTTCAAGTTTCATTAATATCGGATAAAAATTGTGACCTGTAGAGTGTCCACAAATAAAATGTGATGGGACGGACAGACAAGGGCGACAACATTATACGTCCATGTGATAATCATTTTAAATGTATCAACTCTGCACAAATGGTTGTTTTTCAATGGTTAATATTATTATAATCATTTTGTAGTTAAATGCTTTCACTCATCATTATGAAGATGCCAGTAATAAAAAATTGTTATGGTATATATTGTTTTACATGTACTTGCTTTATACCGTTGTGGGGGTGTGGAGGGGTGGATGGTCGAATGGTTGGCATGTGTACGCTGTATCATAAGGTCTGTCATTGAGTCAACTGGCGTGGTTTCGATTCCCCCAGTTGTACGTGACAAGGAGTAGTGCTGCCTGTCCAACCTTGTGGGTTTTCTCCGGGTCCTCTGGTTTCCTCCCACTGCTAAAGACCCCTACGCGCAATCAAATTATTGAAATAAAATTGAAACATGTGTTAGTCCCGAAAAGACCTAGTTTGGGTCGACTCCTTAAACAACTTACTGGCTCCCTGTTTCTTTTCGCATCGATTTCAAAATTTTGTGTCTTATATATCTGTCAATCAGCTCTCCATATATAATGCAAATAAAAATTGAAAACAATTGAAATTTCTTTTTTTTTAATACAAGACAAAAAAAAAACTAAACTAACTTAGTTTGATTTTCAAAAGTGTGATATTGAAATATGTATGAATATGAAGAACACCATTACCAATGACATCTTTTTAAAAACACATATTTCAGTGACATAATACACAAATACTTTTTACATCATCAGTTGCCTGTTGGAGTTGAAAGGCAATAAATTATTATGACTAGGCAATATAAACAGTTAAATATATCATGCAAATAGAAAACAGGGTTTGAGATTAGTTTGTTTTGTTGGGAGAATGCTCACTAGTCCACCAATATCTATTATTGCCATTTTTGCGATTGATGATCACATGTAAATACACACCCGTAATGAACTCTGACAATAATACTGACACACTCACTGACAATGAAATGTAAAGCATCAACCCGCCGGACAATGAAATGTAATACACCAACCCCGACAATGGTATGTACGCATGGCACCCACAATGACAATGGTATGTAAACTATTTTTCCAAGAATTGATTGAATTCAATATAAGAGTAGGCTGGTAATGCCGCTATCCAGGCAAAGTTTCCCTCACAGTACACTGTATAGGGCATGCCTGTCTTCATTAGCCCACTCGGAACAGAACAGTAGGATGTTAAACCCCATTTCATTTCATTTACTTTTCCTACTTTTCTGTGCCAATCGGACTATTCAAGATAGGCATACGCTAACCGGACAATACAACTTTTTTACCTGACATTACAACATTTTTAATGTCGTGGTGTCGGGTTTAAATGTCGTATTGTCGGGTTAAAATTTCGTGATATCGGGTTGTCGCTCTATGACATCACAACATGATACCAATAAGCCAAAATACCTGCTGTTTTTTTTTATACCCATATTCATGGTATTTTTTATAGTGACGGACTAGTGAACCCATTTCATTTTGTGGTTTTATCTCCATTTACAAGAAATGTAAATGGAGGGTGTTTTTTTTTTTACCTGCATTTGCATATATAAAGGTCCCATTTGTTTCAAAGAGAGGTTTACTAAATCTTGTCAGAGACAATTAATCCTTTTTTTTTTTTAAGTCAGTCTATAATGGCAAAGGTACTATTTCTAAGCCTATCTTTAACATCAAAAGTGCTAGTGTTCACATTATGTATCAATTTCACAGCAAGATTTACTGTAAGCAAAACTAAATATAAAACTAATTTACATACTGTAATATCAACATCAGAATGTACAAATATAACATCTGAAATGAGTTGAAAATGATTTTTCTCGTTGAAGTGTTCTAAAACAAACAATTCATTAAACTTAAAAGTTTAAACAATGTGCTTGTGTTAAATGCTTGCATTGGTGTTTTTACAAAGCGATCAATAAAATGTGTATGAAATTCAATAAATACAGAAATTTAATATGAAAAATAAAATTTTCTTAATATTTACACTCAAAAAAATAATGTGTTTTATTTTAATGATATTTTAAATGAGGCATCATACATGTACTTGTTGACCCTAACAAAAATAATAATCCATAAAAAATTTACATACCGGTACATTCACAAGACAATAAGTTATTACAAACCTTGAAATAGTCAAGTAGCGTAAACAAACTTTTTTTTTTGAAACTGAACTCCAGTTTAAGAATTTTGTTTTGAAAATAGAAAGGCATAGGCAGGTCAACACTGATGAAGAGCTTATGTCCAATGCACACAGTATCATTTTTGATTCTGATTTTTAGTGACAATTTCTTATGCACTTAAAACAACATAAGTTTAAAATTTAGAAATCATCTGCTGTTCGCTACACATTATGCCCTTTATAGAATTTTTTCAAACAATCAAAATAACCATGCCCATGTGTGTATTCAAAACCACCAGTATTAAAATAGTTCCAATCTAGTATCACTTTGTACTACTGGGGGTTTACATCTAGAGGTTCTGTCAAAACAAATGGCACATTCCACGAGCACCCTAAGTGTGCTAGGACTGAGGTCAAAACCCGATTTCCTCTAATGTATGGAAATCTGATCATCATTCTCCCCTGGGTGACCACTTATGGATCCTATCCATAAAGAGAGGTGATAAATCCAATTTATACAGTTGCCATTTTGTATTACCATAGCAACTGTTAATAGGTTTAAAAAAGCTTACAAAAGCATGTCATCTACACAAATGATCAAATTGTTTTTCTACACTATCACCCTTTCAGGAAGCTGACACTGAAACTCCCAAGGGTTAATAATAGTGGTTTTGAATACACCTATTCAAACAACAGAGGATAACAAAAAAACTATTTACGTAACAATGGACAACAGAGAAAGAAACTTATTATATGACTGAATGAAATAAACGATCGAAAAATGAATCCACCAATCACCAATGTCGTAACATAACAGTCCGGCTGATTTAAACCTTTTTGCCTTTTCTTTGTTTAACGTTACCATTTTCTGAAGCGCCGTTTTGGTCAGCTTCAGGTAGAGAACTAATATCTTCTTCTTGAACTGCAAATAGGAATATATTATATTGTAAATACATTTTCTAAGAGTGAGTGTAAGGCAGTTTAAAGTCTCTACAACACAAACCAGATCATTTATTTCAACAATTTGCTAGTGCACTGGGGTCTTTAGCAGTGGGAGGAAACCCAGAAGGATGGGCAGGCAACCCTACTCCTGGTCATGTACAGGCTTGGGATCAAAACCATGACACTTGCCTCAATGACACATCTTATGATCTAAAGCGAATATGTTCTACAACTGCAGGTCTCAAGCTTTATGACTGGCTATTAGACAGCATGTGTTACTCAACACAAGTAATTACTACAGTTAGACAAAAATAATGGCTTAGTACAATATAATAGCTTTATCAAACAAAATATGAAGTATGAATGGACAAAGTGTGACATTTACAACAATAATATTTTTGTACCTTTTGTTCTCTTCTTACTGGGTGATCTTGTTTTCTTAGATGTAGCCACAGCACTTCTTTCTCGTAATTTACGTAAATGAAATGTGATGAAAGTCCACATTAACCAGGCTTGTAGAAAACAAATAGCTGTCAAACAGTTTATTCTGAAGAAAAAAATTGTTAAAAAGGTATTTTCCTTTTCAAAATAGAACATGGAATAATAAGTACTTTGTGCAGGGTCAAGCTGGCAAACTGGTTCGTTAACCAAGAGGTCTTGGGTTCGTTCCAGGTGTTGTCCCGAGAAAGTTCTCATTTGTTTTCCCTTGTGCATGGTGTAGGATGGAGGACCTGACAAGGAAATGTGTCTATTTGTTTAAATGGGAATAAAACTGAGGACTTGTGAACACGTTGGCATGCATGTAAAAGAACCCTTGACAGTTGGAATTCAAAATAAGAGTAGGCCATAGAGCATTTCCTTCAAAGCACACTCTATGGTGTGTCTACCTTCATTAGGCCAGTCAGTGTAGAAAAGTAGTCGGTTAACCACATGTCATTGTATACTTATTGACAAATGATCATAGATTCAAACCGACAACCCTCAAGGGTGGATCTAGTGGTGGCAAACCTAGGGAAAATTCCCCCCCCCCACCCTATTTGGATTCTTGGTTCAGATACACACTATTTGGATCCAGGGGGGCAAACTTTAAAATCAGACTTTTGGTTCAGATCGCTGTAAAAATGGCATATCCGGGCTTCTAGTTTTCTAATTTTCCAGAGGAAGCCAATAGGACCCCCCATTGTGTGCTTCTAGTTTTCAAATTTTCCAGAGGAAGCAAATAGGACCCCCCGTTGTGTGCTTTGCACCTTCGAAGCTCGCATCCATGGTCTCTAGATCTGCCCTTACATATCAATACATCCCATGGATCACAAATCACAATTTGGGGAAAGGTTCATTGGATTACAAATCACAATTTTACCTCTTGTTATTTACTGAACAATTTCAAAGATACTACTAGAAAAATAAAAAAATATAGGTAGATTATAACCTGATAATTTGTGTGTTAAAATTTCCAGCAGCAAAATCAAACATAGATTTGTTACTCTGTTCTAATCCATACCTATAATAACAATATCACATTCAACAATAAGTAATAGATATAATTAATCAACAGCTGATATAAAGATAACAAATACTGTAACTACTAATTGCAATATTCGGATAACCATCAAAGTTACCCGACCTTGGAACTATTACACATATGGGTAACTTTAATTTGTTTTGTGGAAATGGCACATACTTATGATCAGTCACTAAGAACTAAAATGTCACCATTTGATTCCTCTGTCTATAAAACCTTCAAAGCTGTAAGCATTTTGGGGAGTTATGTGCACTCCACAAAGGATAAGTGGTAACAAATGTTCTATAATTGGTATCGTTACGATAGGATAGGAGTGAAGTGTAACGTCTAGTCAACACAATATTTCGTTGATATTAAAGGAGCTAAATCGCTAACATTTGGGACCTAGAAATTAACAAAAATGGGTCGCAACGCATATAATACTGTAATATGAATGTATATAAACTGATTTACATTCAATGGTTTCTGTTTTTACTCCAATTTCAAACCAGTTATGTTCGGCGAAATAAGCCAGCAGTCTCAAGCGAGTGCAAATTTCTAGCGTCTGGTTATTCCAGTCTACATACGCCGTTTGATTTGGTGCAATGTGTCTAGCCTCGTCCCTCTTGATAAAACTGGGACTGAAACGCATTATGGTACACGGCTCGTGTACCAATGGTAAAATGTTTATTTTGTCTTAAATATTGGATATCAAAAGCCCATCTTTTTCCGGTAAGATCACAACATGAATGTTGATTTAATTTGACAAATAAATCGTGTTTTCAATGTTGAAGATTTTGGATGATATTGAGTTAGAGACTTAGCTACTTTAAGACCAACATATGGTTATCTTTATTTTTCATCATGTGTGCCATGTTAGGGAGGAGAATTTGACCGGGACAGAGCCGTTTTTGTCTACTTTCCAACATATTCCTAATGCCAATGCAAAACATATCTTTGCCACTCTTCCCTTTAGACCTTGGGATGTTCTAGTCAAGAGTCCTGTGTCCTTATTACGGCCCTCTGAAAACTATCAAAACTTGAACTCACCAGAAAGTTAGGACAGCCAGAGTTATGGTTCCTAGTCGTACTAGCACAAATAAAACATTAAACGCCATAAAACTGTAAATATAAAGCAAGAACAACATCACATTCAAATTACAATTAATTAATAAAGATATCCCTTTCATTGAACTAGCAAAAAAATCTTGAATTTTATTTTTAATTTCAGCAAAATACTGGCTTCTTACTAGAATCTATCACCTACAGTATTGATTAAACAAAGTTGGAATTTTCTTCTTTTTTTTTTTGTTTCTGTGATTTATGACATAATTTTTCAAGTTATTTCAATTTAAGGTGCAGTTTTAGAAAAAACTGTAAAAATTTGCACTTAATGTAACGAAAGCTTACCCTGTGTTTGCAAGATCTACTTTTTCAGCAAAATACATCAATCTAGCAACGTGATATACAAACTCTACTGTATAGTGTAAAACTAACATACATAGGGCTACACGGTTAAAACTGAAAGTAAACAAATGAACAATTTATGTATTGATGAAAACTCTTAACATTAGTAACATAACTTCACATTAATTATGGTTTTCTAAAGCTATAACACTAGAAATATCATCCTTTCAGATAATTTCAGATAAAATTAAATCTTGTGGTCCAAGTAGATGACCTAATTATGTTTGAAGGAATATATCTTTAAAGGGAGAGAGAGAAATGGGGTTTAATTTCCACTCGACACAAACTAGGTCATTTTGGGACTCATATTGTTTAATTTTAATTCAATAATTTGTTTGCACCTAGGGGTCTTTAGCTGTGGGAGGAAACAGGTGACACCACTTGACACGTATACGCTGGGGATCGAAATCACACCAAGGACAGACATTATGATCTAAAGCAAATGCAATAAACTATTCAGCCAACTCCCCTATAAGGAATATATTAAGACTTACTTTAGCATATAAGCACTGGTGATAAAAACTAGATATAAAACAGCATATTGTATACGGGAACTCATCTCATCCTGTAATAATAAAAGTCAATTTATCAAAATAAAACAAGAAGTCACTTTCTGATTTAATAAAAAAAACAGAACTCTAGATTTAACTGAAGAGAAATTAGAAGAAAAGGCAATGAAGCTATGCAATAATTCTGCTTAATAAAACTGGATGATTTAAAAAGATGTTAACTAATTAAATATACATGAATAACATGTCCTCATTTTAGACTATTAAGCAGAATTGATTTAATCTAGTAATTAGACTAGATATTCAGGGGTAGCCAATGGTGAAGAATTACCTAAAGTGACCAGATCTCTCCTTGATCAGAGTAAAAAATACAATTGTCCATTTTATATGTTAATTTGTTTTGTAGAATGACTGTCATGTTTGACACAAGGTCATGGTTGACAAAATTTATTTTGTGTTTCATTGTCAAAACAGTAAGCCAATAATAAACTAAAATTAGTTCATAAGAATTATAAAATCAGTTGATGAGCCAGAGTTGGCTTAATCTTTCGAAAACAATAATTTGATAGTACTTGCCCCATCACAATTCAAAATAACACATCAGATCAAACCAATTTATACTTTATTTTCATCTAATTCAGGAGAGTTAGCTCATTCACGGATCTCACTTTAAATCTTACCTTTTTGATTTTTTGAAAGTAAAGTTCAGGGAATGTGTGGATCCAGTAGGCTATTTGAATAATGAAGTAAAACTTAACCACAAACCTACAAGAAAAAAAGTATGGTTCATTTTATGCTTAATATTGATAGATTATGTTTAAATTAATATGAATCTTAATTTGACCATTCTAATACAAATATAGCAACCCAAGTACAAGAATGATATGATATATAATACTGTATACTCACGGAAAGTTACAATGGGGATAATTATCCCATAATCTACTGATTCCCATCAAATATCCTTCCTAAAATAGAAATAACATAACAAGTTATGACATTGGGGGGTAAAAAGTGTGTAGATGTTTATGTCATAAAAAAACCAAAAAATGTCATGTACAATTCACATTACAATTCTACAATGTCCAAACCACCAGACAGTCACAGCAAATCATGACAATAGTGTTATACACCTCACCAGCAAAACAAATAGTTTCTGGGCAGTCAACAATGTTCTCTTATGAATGTTTGTCTGTGAACTAAAGTGCTTTCTCTCTCTCTTTCCCAGCTCCTTCATAATAGTAAATCTGTTAATTATCAGGAACCTTTGTAACAATCGCAGTCATAAGATAGAGGTGGATTTCACTTATCTATGTATCAAAATCATGGTATACTTATATACAAGAAGTGATATACTTACTCGAACAATGATGTCAACACCCCAAGCAGCAGATGCAAAATAGAACGCCAGTAGTTGACCAGATTCATTAAATTTACTGTGTTTTACTTTAGATAGATGCATACGACGATTGAATTTCTGAAAAAAAAAACCCAAATAATTTCAACATGGCTGTACTGGGTAAAACTGGTATGTTCACATCGATGATTGTCAAAAGTTACACACATTAATTATTTTACTACACAGAAAAAAGACAAATTTTACACTGTCAATCTAGACACCAAAAGGGTGTAGATACCCTAACGGTACCTAGATTTGAAAGCTTATCTTGCTTCCAAGAGTACCCTGCTATCTTAAGTGTCTGTGGGCCAAAACGTGCCTTGGTCTATCACACAAAAGCATAATTTGATTATACCCAAAGTTTATAGTTCCAATCTTTGCTGGAATTGTACCAATATGCATTGATAATATAGGTTTATCATTGATCTTTTTCATAACATTATCAATTCTCTTTAGTTTGCCATTAAACAATGGCATTGTTCTTCCAGTCAATTGATCAAATCATACTTACATCAAGTACATATTCTTGTAACACAGCATGTACCACAATACCAATCAAAGTATAGAAGAAAACAGCAAAAATATCTTTTCTCCCATAACTATAGTAACCAATTTCTGGGTCATAATCAATGTGTGATTCTGAAAACAATGTGACAAACTTATGTATTGACTAAAAAAATGGTATACGTCTGTATTCATAGAGAGGTGCTTGCTATCAATAACTGTTTTTAAAACAACCCACCACTGCATTTAAAGATGGGTTCCCGCGTACAAACTGGGTGATTTAATGGTATATATATATAGGTGACTTACCTCTCTTGGAAGTCAGAGGAAAATTCAGTGCATACATAAGACGATGTTGTCTTTAATAGCTTACTATTTATTACAAATATCGAATCCTAATTAAATTCTCGGATTATCCACTACCCGCATCTTTTTCTGTCATTTTTATCTCAAAAAGTTTTGTACGTCTAACTCTTCATAAAGTTTATCAACTTGTACATCAAGCGCTCAATGTTCGCGTGTGACCTTTGAGATCACGCGTGCAGAAATTCCTAATTGTCTGGCTGTTGATTATGGGAACCCTTACATTTTTTGTCCTGTATACGCTTCATGAATGTTTTTCGGGGAATCCAGTATTTTTCTAGTAAGATTGGATATCTCTACTTTCCATACAAAATTACCATACTTTTATTGGAAATCACCACCCTATGAATACTTTTCTGGGAACCCATCTTTAAATATATTGTAACATGTTTCAATCTGTTTTACTGTTATATTCCTATAATATAGCATGGCTCCCAGATCAGTTGAACACTTTTAATCATTGTGTAAAATATAACGTATATTCACTGTGAGTTACTGGAGAATATACCTGTTCTACACAGTAGGCCTAGACTAATGCATATTGGTTATTATTATTAACATATTTTTTTTAATGTTTACATGTATGTACCATAAAAAATACTAATAGGGAATATACTTGTTTTGTATAGTAGCCTAACGTATATTGTTCTTTTAAACTTTGCGTACAATAAAAAAAAAATACTTATATCGGGAATACACTTGATTTATATGGTAGATTAATGTATATATTGGTCTTTATCAATGGCATCCATTTATTATTGTGCATAATAAAATACTTTACCCCGATCTACAATATCCCAATATGCCTGGTCTAATGTGAAAACAATAAAGTAAAAAATAAATCATAAATATATCATCTGACATTTTAAAGGCACCTTTATCACATATCTTGTGTATTGATTTTATTATTTTTGTTTAATAAACTGAATTGCTGACAATAAATAACCTATTTAATATGCTTTTATCAATAATTGCAAGAACTGTTTCTTTAAATATTGATGTTTGTTGCTTGTTTTGTTTTTTATTATTACATACTTTACTAGAACTAGTACTACAATGTACCTACCAAGACTCATATATGGATAAGTCACTATTTAACAAAGACAGCAAAAACAGAAATAAAGATAAATTTAAAGAAAAACATTATTATATTCACAATAAAATCATAAGTAAGATCATTTCCCATGGCTAATAAATATTTTACCTTTGTAATTCACTAAACACATCCTTAATAACACCCGGTAAATATAACTGGGGGGATACAGTATGAGGGATTGGAAAGATTTTGGGGATAAAAATAAGAAAATAAAGCTGTCTTTAAATTTATTAAATGATTTTATCAATGAAGCTGATGAGCTGTTATTATAGTAACATTTTAGCACAGACAACATTTAAAGTAGTAGTTTCAAATTTCACAGATCATTGTAATAAAGGCTTGTTTAAATATGTACATCAAACGCCAAAATGTTATGGCATAGCCTTTTATATACCGTGTCTGGCAATACTGAGACATTTGAAAATGACCACTAAATTTGCTCAAAAGGGGAACGTAACTCATTGATTATATTCCATTCTTCAGTTCATCTGTACGAGAGTATTTTTTGGAAAGTTTTATTTCTTTGAAAACATACATGTGGCTACGTGCTTACACCCCAAATCAACCAGTTTTATTTACTAAAATATATATCTGGAACTTCATGTCACTGTTTGGCATACATTTTATTACCCAGGTCCCAGGGTTAACTTAATATTGCCAGACTGGTCATTTGTCTGCATCATAATGCTACATCTACCTAAAATTTCTACTAATTTAAATTTACCTTGCACAATCCTAACAAAACCTAAATATGACTGTGTAAACAGGAATATTGGTAATAAAGTGCCTGATTCATGGACACAAGGAACAGACATATTGAAACTGGAGAAATAATAGAACATGCAACCCATTTTTTTAACATTATTGGTACAAAGGCTGTAACAGATCGTTTATTCATCAACTACATTAATGTGTTGTAGTGAAACTACAGATTGATTTAATCTATCGCACTGAACATGAAATATTTTTCATTATTCTTTTTTCTGAAACTGTGCAGTTGGTAGTAGAATAGTGTTACTATTACTACCGCCCACTTTCTGTCTGACTTAAGCTACAGATTTAACAAATTAGTAGGTTTCACATTATTTGTTAATACCAGTAATAAATTATGATTTAAAAAAAAATAAATCAAAGAATTGTTACAGTCTATTACATACCATTTAGAGTAACATTGTGCTGCATAGTCACAAATAAGGTAGCAACTGGGCTTGTAACCTAAAATGAAAACAGCCATATGTGTCTTAAAAAAATAGCATCTTAAAAATATTTCAGCTTTGAAATTTGTAGATCTAGTCTTGTTAGATTTGTTGATTACTCTAAGATTTAATTTAAGGTTTTTTTATGAAACATATGGAATGACGTTGTGACATTCTCGGTCTGTCTGTTACCATCTGTTGAGTCTGCGTTTTTTTAAAACAAATTTTGGCTTAGATTCAATTGCAACCTCTCAATTCCGCATAAAACATTATTGCAGACAATCTAAATATAAAATTCTGATAGGTTCATTGATCCTATTTGGTAGCTTTCCAAATCAAAAAAAAAAAAGTTGAACACATTTTTTTTAGCAACCGATCTGTCAATTTACCTAGACAGATTTCGATTTTCATCGATTAGGCTTACCTGAAACATCAAACCGATCACAAACACCATTGCAACGCATGATACAATATCTGCATGATTCTGAATAACAAATTCATGGCTGAAAATCGGAGGATTTTTCGATTTATTTCTTCGTGGTGCCATGATTTCTTTCTAGCAGTAAAGACAACGACGTGGCTTCTTTCCCAAAACGCCGGCCAAAGGAAGTGGTTGTAAGCCTCAGTCCCGTTATTTTCTAAACCTACGTTTACATTACGAGGCATTTCATTGGTTATTTACTGATTGAGGCGGGGCTTGGCTAGCTCCTGTCAAATTGATGAAATTTACCAGAAATTGAAGAAATAAACATGCAACAAGGTATCTAGTCCTTTTGCTTGATTAATTGTTAGTGAATGAAAAACCCTAGGTGAGAAGTCATTAACTAGATTATGGACGTATTGGCACATGAGCATTATCCAATGAAATGTGCCGTTTCTGTTATATGTACGGTTATGATTTTATGACACTGCTTCACGCAACATGAACATGCGGAGCACGTGGGTTTTTTTAAAAAATAAATATGTGTACAATTCACGTCAAAGGTCAATGAAAACGGTAAGTAGAAACGTCAAAAAATGCAACTTGTCCGTCATTGTAATGGTGACTATCGATATGAAATCAGACAGAAAAACAACGATGGTTTATTTGTAGCCTACAAATCAAATCTGATGAAAATCATTTTTTTTTAGCGAATGAGAGCAAAATCAGAATTGCCTCCCTTTAACTAAGTTTAAGTAAAAAATTCCATTTTTGTTTAGTTGTCTCCATCAGAATTGATTTTGCATATGAACCGATCTAGTAAGTCTTGCATAGACGGTTACTGCAAAATCAATATATCGGAACCATTATTTCATATTCGATTTACGCAAGTCTGACTTTTTGGGCAGACGGATAAAGTGAAAACAAAAATTATTTTATTTAGTTGGCAAAAAAAAGTGTCCGAAATCTAATAAAACACTGCCGGTAATTTACTTTTCTTTTAATGAAATACAGTACCACAAATTTGTACTGAATTGACTATGGATTAAAACATTTTGTCTAATCTGGCTCGTGTCATTCTACTTTTTTGAGCATCGATTATTATATGTGAATGCAGCTGCAACAACCTGTTTGGATGGTTGGAATTCAGGTCGGCATAACTCACGAGCTATAATAGCAGAAAAACACATTTGCCCCCATACCCCACAACGATTGATTGGTTATATGGGATTCAGGTCAGCCACCTAAGGTAGGCTATATCATATTGGACCACAGACTGGATTCCCAGGCTGGATTCCCAATGGTCCCGTCTGCTGTAAACGATTGTTTAGTTGATTGGAATTCGATTCTGGCAGCTAGATTAGGCAAATAATAGACTACTTTAAAATTGCTGTATTCTCAGACTGGAATAGAAGGAAAACACATTTGTGGCCATCAAATTTTTCACATTTTCCTGGAGGTGTGCCTCCACAGTAAGCTCAGCTCTTTCGCCTCTTGCAGAAGATCGATGCCCCCTTCTGTAATCTGAAATTTTTTCGGACATTTCAAGCTCTGACCCCACTAACATCATCGAACCTGTATGCCTATGGTTGAAATAATTGTGGATTTGGGTAAATTGTGCCACTGCAAGTATCTAGTATATTATTTTAAGTGATGTAAACAAACTTAATGTACCTGTACATGGTTTCATTTGTAAACAGGGTTTTACATTTACCCTGATAGCTGGTGTCTTAATTTATGAATGCAAGGCAAAATGGGTTGTACTAAGGTTCTGCATTGTAGAAACTGTTTTAATACTAATAGAATAAAATATAAAGAATCAGCAACTACTGGATTTTTCCTTTATTTATTGTCAATTGAGTGAATTCACAACATCATTTAATAGTCTGGTGTCGAATCTAGGTCAAGCATACTATTACCACAGGCCTGGTAAACAATTGCAACTTTATCTAATATTAATGGTTAATGGAGAGACCATCAAAATAAAATAATGTCTAGTTTAAATCAGGCTGCACAGGCTAACATTTGATTGTCAAAACATAACTATTAGGGTAGAATTACGTCCTCAAAAAGGGTCCAAACGATTCTTAATATGGATGTGTATATTGTCTTCACCTTCATCTGGCATTCTGTTAAAAAAATTTCTAGTGTACCCTATACAAAACCAGCATTTTTTATAGCTGTTTTTCAAATTCACAAGGATACTATGTGGTGATAAGGAAGAACTCCATCAAAAATGGAAATTTCTGATGGCAATTTGGTTTTTATAGCTTTTCATCACGATATAAATATAACCTAATTGGATTTTTAATAACTTGGTCGTCAGGATTTGCTGACATTGATTTAAGATGACTTTCATGATGCTATGTTATTAGGGAGCTTGATAAAACCCACTCTTTTGTTTCTGATTAAACAGTTCATTTGGATATATTGAGATTATATTGTTAACAAAAATGTCAATCTGCCATGAATCAGTATAGATATGACATTTATTGGATGTGTGATAAATGTTTGAATGGATGTTAAACCATATTTTGCTTGCTCTGTGTTTTTGGAGGAGCCATATTGGCTAAGATGCTGACTCACTAGTCTGGAGGTCGCATGTTCGATCCCTGCATTGGTTAAGAAAGTTCATCAGGATTTTCCGACATAGTTTTCCCTTGATAGTGGTGCAGGATGGAATTTTTCGGATAGGACATAAAACTGAGGTCCTGCATATACAGTGACGTGCTCGTAAAAGATCCCTTGACAGTTGGAATTCAAAATAAGACTAAGAGTATGCCGTAGTGCCGCTGCCCGGGCAAAGTTTTCCTCATTGCACAATGTATGGCATATGCCTGTCTTCATTAGCCCAGTCGGAGAAGAACAGTAGGATGTTAAACCCCATTTCATTTCATTTTCATGTGTGTGCTTAGGAGAGTTCCAAGTGGGATATCAAATTTCACGGAACAAAATCCTCAAACAAGATGCAACACTTAAAATTCTGGTTATTTTGCATGTATATCATCATATCATTTACTTTCATTTTAAGATGACAGAAATAAGATGATGGTACAGTAAAAGCCTTCTGGGAATTATATCCTACTATTAATGCTTGTCAAGTCGTCACTTACATCCAATTACAGATATAAGTTAAATTGTAAGTAAATTTTATTGTCCCACACACGTTGCGTTATGAATCATTTAAAACAAGTAGTTTACAAAAATGTATTGTTTTCTGTCATCGATTTATCAATTATTTTTGCATTTTGAAGCATTCAGTTAAAGGTTTGATTCAAGGGATTACAAAATTGGGCTCATGTTTTGCATTAATTTATGCTTTAATCCAAGACCCACTTTGTTAAGGTTATGTCAACATTTTATGAAGGGCTGAAATTGCTTTCAAATGAAAATACATACTATTTATTTTGGTGATTTCCTTCTTCGAACTCCTTTTTCCGGCGTTTAATTACAGAGTCTGTTGTACATTTAAACCCCTCAATGTTCCACATTCCCAGAACTGTCTAACCATTCGATCAAGAAATAACAACTGCTCCCTAAGTCAAGTTGGCAGACAATAAGCCGTCTGGTTGTCAGTTAGTGATGCCCTGACATTTTTTTCCCAGGGCTTGCCTCATGGGTGTTTTTCAGGGAATCTGGTATTTTTCTAATAAGATTGGGCATATCTGCTTTCCATTTATACCAAATGTGCCATACTTTTATTGGAAATAACTACCCAATAAATTCTTTTGTGAGAATGTATTTTTAACGTGTCTGACTGATGTATTGAATATATCACACATGCAAATATTTGTTTAAATTAAAGGGCTATTGGAAACTTTCTTAATTGTACCAAGTAAAACCGGATGCAAGCTTTTATTTGTAAGAGAATGGTATGCTTTTTTGCCACCATTGAATTAGCATGATTTAACCACCAGGGACCGGGTATCATTCAGATTTGATGAAAAAAGGAAAGAAACTGAGCTTACCATCTAGAATCTAATACACGTATCCAATAGATTGCAGTCCAGAAAGTATTAAATGCCATCAAGATTCTTCATCCAAAAAAACGCCTAGTTTCTGCTACCATGTAGTTTAAGAAACACCGTTTAGTTTTGACATTGGTTGTCTAGTTTATGACCATTTAGTTTAGTTTTGATATTGGTCGTCTGGTTTATGACCATTTAGTTTCATAAACTAGACGACCGATGTCAAAACTAAACAGTGTTTCTTAAACTACACGTAGCACAAACTGGACGTTTTTTGATGAATCTTGACAACGGCATTTAACGCTTTCTGGATGGCAATCTGTTAACTGGATACAAGTATTAGATTCTAGATGGTAAGCTCAGTTTCTTTGCTTTTTTTTATCAAATATGAATGGTACCCGGTCCCTAGTGAACTATGCTTACTCTTTCGCGACTGCAACACTAATTATGACTTCATTACTCCATCTTTATCATAGACTATGATACAAAGTGCTACACTTTGAACAAATGCAAATTGTTGTATGTCGTAACCAATCTGATAAAAATCAGATAGTTTTCAATTCTTTTTATACGCCCACATTTCATGCGTATGTATATTGTTGTCGCCTCTGTCTGTCCATCCATTCACATTTGGACACTTTACATGTCCCAATTTTTATCCGATTCTGATGAAACTTGAAATAATATAGGTTTATAATTATATCCTAATTATCTTGGTTCCTTTTGATATTGGCATGTATTGGACCGCAATGTCATGGATTATGGCCCTTGATTGTACGAAAAATCATGGTTTTTGGTTGTGGACACCCTAGAGGGCACAATATTTATTTGATTTTGATGAAATTTGAAATATTTGTTTATAACCTAAAGATCTTGGTTCCTTTCTGGATTATGGCCCCTGATTGTATGTAAAATTGCATTTTTAGTTTGTGGTTCCTTAAGAGCTCACAATTAAAAAAATGTTCGTATATATCACTGTTAGTGTTACACCATAATGGCAGTTGAGTTCGAATTTAGTGAAAAAAAAAATGTTCGTATATATCACTGTTAGTGTTACACTATAATGGCAGTTGAGTTCGAATTTTGTGAAAAAAGGAATGAAAATGCCAGAAAAAATAATGTTAAAGTATGTGATATCAAGGTTGTGGACCTTCTAAACGTCACAATTGTGATCCAGTTTTGATGAAACTTAAAGCATGTGTTTGTATCACAGAGATCTAGGGTCCTTTCGATATTCGCGCATATCATACCACAACATCCTAGATTATGGCCCATGGATTATGGCCCCTGATTGTACAAAAACCCACCTCTAGAGGTCACAATTTTTATCCTATTTAAAAAATCACCTTTACACTGTAATTAGGGTTGAGATCGAAATTCCAGTAAATCGAAATGAAATTGGCCAACAATTGTTTGCAAATAGTGTAAAAGTACATAATATGAAGGTTGTGGAACCTCTAGAAGTCATAATTTTTGTCCTATTTTGATGAAACTTAAAATGTATGTTTATATCCCAAAGATCCCTGTTCCTTATGATATTCGCGTATTTCTGACCTTAAATATCTGGATTATGGCTCCTGATTGTACGAAAAATCGCATTTTGTAGCTTGTGGAGCCTCTGGAGGTCACAACTTTTGTCTGAAAAAAAAAATGTTTATATATATCATCGTTAAACCCTAATTATGCTTGTGTTAAAATTTCGTTGAAATCGAACTGAAACTGCTTGACAAAATGGCTGCTACTTCTATGCAAATTGTGTAAAAGTATGTAATACCAGGTTGTGAAACCTCTAGAATTAACAATTTTTATCCTTTCCAAAAGATCTTGGTTCCTTTCGATATTTGTGCATATTGGATCATAACTTCCTGGATTATGGCCCCTGATTGTACAAAAAATCGCATTTTATTTTAGCTTGTTCTCTATCTTTTTGTTTTATGTTCTGTATTTTATATTTTACCAATCTCTTGACAAGTTGTATCAATGTGTCATGTTCTTAGATGCGTACTGTAATTACTATTAGTCAATTTAAACACAGTGGTTCCAATCATGCAAAGACATCATACCGGTACTTTATTTTGACCAAAATCAAACCTGTTTGGTTTCTTTAAGTGCCTTGATTTTTGCCTTTTATTAAATAGACTTTTTGTCTTTGATTACCTGTCAGGAATTATTATGTACACTATTTGTATTCTAAGGCCTTTTTATACGCCCATGAAATCTATATGCATCAATTAGGTTAGTAAAAGAAAGAATCATATTGAATTTCAGTAATTTCCATTAATTTCTTCTGGAGTTATGGCCCTTGTTCACTTTGTTGAAACGACAAACGTTATCACCCGTTTTGTATGAAATGTATATGCATCATTTAAATTAGTAACACAAAAAACCCTTTTGAATTTCAGCAATTTCCAATGACTACATCTAGAGTTATCACCCTCGTTCAACTTTGTTGAACTTTGTAAACATTCAAATGATGAAAGTTATCATCTGATCTGTATGAAATTTATATGTATCATTTAAATTAGTGAAACGAAGAATCCTACTGAATTTCAACAATTTCCAATAATTACTTGTAGAGTTACATGGCCCTTGTTTCACTTTGTTGAACCTTGTAAACGATCTGTATGAAATTTATATGCCTTAATTAGATTAGTGAAAAGAAGAAGCCTATTCAATTTCAGTAATTTCCTTCAATTACTTCTAAATTATTTATATTTATTTTTAATAACATTATTGTCTGTGATACTTGTTTTTATTTATGTATATAAATATATTTATGTGATATTGGTTTAATTTGTCTCATCAAAATCACCATGTGTTTGGCACCATATAGCCCGGTTGGAGCAGACGTGCCATAAAATTTCATTTCTAGATTTATGGCCCTCATTTTACTGTGTTGAACTTGTGAACGTTCGAATGACAAAAGTTATCATCCGATCTGTATGAAATTGATATGTATTATTTGAATTAGTTGAACGAAACAGCCTGTCGAATTTCAACAATTTATTTAAATTACTTCCAGAAAGGCCCTTGTTTCAGTCTGTAGTACATTGTGAATCCTTAAATGACGAAAAATATAATATGATCTTTATGAAATGGTCTTGTAAATGACCCTAATTATCTACAAAAGAATAAATATGCGACCACTCAGACGATTTAGCTGCTGTGGGTGTATGTTTCGTTGCCTGGCAACCTAACTTTCTTTATAAATTTAATTTGAATTGATTTGTTTTCTGTAGTATTAAAGCAAAAATTTAATTTACCAGTTTTTCCCATTCGATTAATGGCTTGATTTCATTGATAGATCTAAATACATATATCAATTATGGCAACTCTGGTCGTTGCCAAGGTTATTAATCAATAACTTCCTTAGCCAACCAATCAAAAGAGAGTATTGTTTAGTATTATCATTTGATTGACAGTAAGGGGTCAGAGTAACTGTGTTCTAAAAATAGCCAGATATTGTAGTGAAAAGCTGGCTGCTATCTTTCACATAAAGTCAAATTAAGCTTTTTACTAGGGTAGCCATTTGTAATTGCTCTAAACTTTGGTAATGCTTATAGGATCTTTGTAAGATTATCTTGTGCGTAATTGAGTTCGATTTGCTAAGTTTTAGCGTTATTTCTGCGATTATTTTATGTCATTTGAATAAGAAGTAAATTTCAGCCATAGTGTATGAGACTTTTTAAGCAATTTAGACATTAGGCATTTCAGTTTTCATTGTAGTTTTCTGGCTAATTTGCTGTTATTAGTAAATAAAATGCTTAAAACAATGTTTGCATTGAACTTGAAATAAATATATTTCTTTTCTAGGTCCACAGCTAGTGACACAACCTTATTATTGAAAGCTGTTACATTACGCATCTAAGTAACAGATTTACTAAGGTATGTTTTGATTTTGATTTATTTTCGTCAACGATTTGAAAGTCTCTAGTCATAGTATGGTCCCATCTTGGGGCAAGGACACTGGACTTGTGACGGACATTTCTTACGTCAGAAATAGTTTTCGGTATCTGGTGACACTTGAAATGCTGACGGGGAACGTGCATTTTAGTTCAGATCATATAAAACCCCAGAGATACTACATATGAACTGGTAGTGCACATATATGTATAAGGTCTTTCGGCAGTTTGAAATTGGGAAATCGTATTTGCATAGAATAAATTTGAGTGGATGAATTTAAATATGAATCTTTAACGATAAGTATTGATTCTGAATGTGAAAAATGTAATAATAACAGATATGCAAGACTCATAGTCACATAAGCACAAAAATAATCTGAGTGTTGAATTTTTCAAGTCATTCCAATGGCATGAACATAAAAGAATCCTTGGCAGTTGAAATTAGAGGAAGAGTAAGCAGAAACACACGCTGTCTGGGTAAAAATTGCACATGTGGCCATAGAAAAAATAACCATATGACATCTGTTATGACATCTGTTATTTTGCAACCATTTTGTCCTTTTGTCAACTGTCAGAGCTGCAATGTAGTGATGCATAAAATTACTTTGAAGAATCATTAAATGTCTATGTTAAGTTCTGAAAAAATACCCTTATATATTATCACATACTTTCCAAACATTTAAGAGTGTTTTTCTATGTAGAAGTGTCCTACTTGGATTTTATCTCAATTGTGTAATGCTCTTCCATATAATGTCTACCACTTATATTCATATATTTGATGCATCCAGCTAGCGGGACTCCTATACATTGTACTGGTAACTCAGAGACAACCATGCATACAAATTTGATATTTTTGGAATTGATATGTCTTTGTGACATCTAATTGTTTGGAGATTTCTGTGGTTGTGGTCGTAGAGACAAGATAAAAATCTGATTTAAAAAATGCACATTCTTATGCATATTACTTCACTGATAAGAAAATCTTGCTGTTTTCATATTTGCCATTGCATTGATCGTAACGATTCTGCATAAAATCCAGTGTATGGCAACATTTAACTACTATATACTAACAGGAATATTTCTTGATGAAAAATTAACGAAAGAATAATATTGTAATAGCTAAAATGAAGTGCAATTCAAATACCAAAAAATTTCAAAATATGGTTTGCGGATAATTTCAAGGTTTAAGGAGCTAAACCTCTTCGATTTAGGTCAATATAATGGGTTGAATTATGGTGATCTGATGCGTTATTTCTATTAGGGAGTCGCTGTGGTTCAGTGAGTAAGAGATTGGCTTGCTAACCTGGATTTTCTGGGTTTGATCCTGGTGTTGGCAGAGAAATTTCATCGTGATTTTCGGGCGTGGTTTCCCCATCGTGAGTAGTGTAGGGTGAAGGGCCTGGCAAGGAACAACATATAGTCATTCAGATGAGATGTCCCGCATACACATTGGTGTGACAGTTGAAATAAGTGTAGACTGTAGCACAGCTGTCATATGCCATCTTCATTAGCCCAGTCGTTAAGAAAAGTAGGACGTTAAACCCTATTTTTATTGAACAAAATGATGTGTCGAATCGGGTTAGTTACTCATGTGTTATTTCAGTTAATGATGGAACAAAATCTAACCCATTAGATTTTGAACTATTTCTGTAGGCTCAAAGTTTTAAAAGTAGTCTGGTGCCCACTTAATTCTTGTAGAAACTGGGTGATTTGATGATATATTTGGACTAAAAACATATTCAAACTAATTGATCTGTCAAAAATTTGCTTCAAATCCCTCTCAAAACATTATATTCGTAGGGAAATACCCCGAGCTATAAAAAATCTACTTCAAGAAGTCATGTTTATCACATGTATGTTTATAAACCAAAGATCTCTGTTCTTTTCGATATTGGTGCATATCATGTTTTTAGCTACAGGTCACAAATTTTATCCAGTTTTTAAAAACCTGACCAAAACTGTCCAACTAATAGTGTAAAAGGTTGTTGATGTGGACCCACTAAAGGCCACAGTTGTTAATCCGATTTTGATGAAACTTGAAATGTAAATTTATAACCCAAAGATCTCAGTTCCTTACGATATGATATCAGACTGTAAATTCATGGATTATGGCCCTTGCTTGTGGACACTCTAGAGGTCACAATTTTTATATGATTTTGATGAAACCTTTTGATATAGACACATGTTGAACTGTAACTTCTTGGATTGTTGCCCTTGATTGTACGAAACATCGCATTTTCAGATTGTTCTCTGTCCATCTCTTGCAACCTTGACGAAACTCGAGCAGACAGCCCTAATCATCAAGCTGACAATTAATGACACCTTCTTATTTTGTTCTGTGCGTGCTCCATGGGTGTTTTTCAGGGAATCCAGTATTTTTAAAGTGTGACTAGGATGAGACAAAACCACGTAGAAAGTTGTAGTACAGTTAAAATATCCCTTGACAGTTAAAATTATAAGAGGGCCTGTCAAGAAACAAAGTCTAGTCCTTTTGATGGTACGAAAAGCTGAGGTCCTGTATGCACATTGGCATGCACATAAAAGAACCCTTGACCCAAAGAGTTATCATCTGATTACGTAAACATCTTTTGTTTGTGTTGGCGCTCGAAAGAGCTAGAAGCCTATCAAATTTGAAAGGCTTGATTCGCTAGCAAAGTACAATATTGTGAAAGTTTAATCTCTATTAGGTATATCAGTTCAAAAATGGTTCAATTACGTTCGGTATTTACAAAGATGTGCAAATTCCATTGATCTATGCTTCTCGAATGTAACAAGACACTGACACTATCTGTTACTGGTCGTCGACAAACCTGATGGGCCTAGTTTAAATCCAATTGAATCCAAGCCAAGAGATTATCTAGTGTTAGTATTTATATTTTGTTTTCTCGATTAAATGTTATATAATCGATCTGAGTACATAATTTAAGGTGGGAAATGAAATGAAATAGGGTTTAACATCCTACTGTTCTGCTCCGATTGGGCTAATGAAGACAGGCATATGAGGGAAATTTTGCCCGGACAGTGGCAATACCACCTACTCTAAAATCGAATTCCAACTGCCAAGGGATCTTTTACGTGCATGCTAATGCGTAAACAGAACCATGGTTTTTTGTCCCATCTAAATGACTAGACAGCTGTCCTTGTCAAGCCCTCCGTCCTGCACCACTGACAAGTAGAAATCACACCGGAAAATCGTGATGAACTTTCTCAGCCAACACAGGATCGAACCCATGACCTCCAGACTAGCGAGCCAGCATTTTACTCACGTAGCCACCGTTGCTCCCTATTTAAGGTGGGAAAAATTTGATATTTTAGCAAAAAGGCAAATGATGCATCAAGCTTTTAATTATATCTGATAAGTTTTAAGTGTCTTGTATATCCATTAGCTTATGACATACCTGTCTGACATCCTATCTTTATTTTTTGGGTTGGCAACAAGAGCTTTTGCAAGACAATAGGTGTCAAGCCAATTGAATGAGATCAAGGTCAATAATTCTGAAAGTAATTGTCATTGAAAATTAATAGTCTTCTTTATCTTTTGAACATAATTACTATGTATAAATTTCAAATTAATCGAATGATGGAAAAAAACATACTTTTCCAGAAGGTTGTCCCCGATAACTTAACAAAGTTTGTGTACACAGGCACATAAATTTGATTTTGTAATGCCAAACAAATCACCTGTATTCTGTTGTAAATGACAATCATTATGTAATTGCCACCTGCCTCTGTACCCAGAAAGATTCTCGGACAGTCAAGTATTTCTGGAGAGGGTTCAAACTACTACCTTCTCAGTCCACTGACCATCACCAAATGTTTGCACTACGACCTAGTGTACTGTTCAAAGCTAAGGCCAGTTGTACTGTTTTTCAAAATAATTAACCTACTGAAGATTCAAAAGTACAACTAAAATATGATAGTATGTGAACCCCTCAAATTAAAAGTGGTATCAGGTGGTATAAAAAGATATAACAACAAAAATAAAGATATGTGATTGCCCCTAGGACTGTGTTTACCTGAATCAGATTAACTGAATAGGTTTGGACAAATGTTTGTGTTTCAGCTGATAGGATTAGAATTTGTGGATTAGTCAATATTTTGATGTCACAAAAATTTACTTCATCATATCTTTGTGAATACTGACCAAAAATGAACCATTTTTGGACTAGATTCCTATTAGTAATTTTACTTTTACAATATTGCAGTTTGCAAGAGATTCCTATATCGCTCAAATCACTCTTAGGGAAATTAAGTAATCACTGTGTTTACATTGAGTTCATAAGCTTAAATTCTAATCAACATCTTACTCTTTCCCCAGGTCTATTTACCCAATGTAACAGCCTTCAAATATATCTCTGGATTGATATCAAACTTTTAAAGCAACATTCAATTCATCAGGTTGATAAATCTTGAAAGCAACTGTAAAGATGCATTATGTAAGAGCTAAATCTGCCTATTGCAGGTCTTTATTTTGGCTTCAAATGATATTTTAAGTATTATATTCAAATTCACATTTAGTCACATAATCAACGCCATCTAGACCATCAGATGGCAGACATTTAAACGTATTGAACACAATCTCCATTTAATGATTTAATTTAAAAATGGTGAATCAAGGCTTACCATTGCTAAGATAATAAACAAATCGATGCCACATCTTGTCAAAACTTCAAACAGGGATGATTTTGCTCAGAATAAAGTAATTTGAATGAAATTTTCAAAATATACATTTTGCATTATCTATTTTTCACTATTATAGCACAAACAGCCAGCTCTTCATCTAAATCTTACATAATGCATCTTTAAAAGTCATGATCCTAAAATACATCTACTGACAAATATCTTCACTCTGTTATTGAAAATAATATATTTCTTGCCAAGAACTTTCAAAGATACTTCAAGTGAAGTATCCGCGGAGTTAAAGTCCAAAATTTATTTGAAAAATATATCAAGAATGATTGTGATATCTGTAATAAATTAGAC